TACTGGACGTGGAGGGGCTGCAGCCTGGCATAAATGAGGGTCACATGCACCCCAGTATCCCTCTGTCCACAGAAGGGGCAGGAGACTGGGGTGTCCATGAAGCTCACCACATACACACCTTTAGCACTGGCTCCATGGAGAAGCCACCAGCTGAGGTCCCCAGTGGCTCGTGGAATGAGGGTGGAGTACAGACTCAGCCACCGGGGTGCTCCAGCCACCCCCCTCTGAGAAGATCCTGCCACTTGATGGCTGGGCAGGACATAACAGCAGTATGATGGACAGTGCAGTACACAAGCATGTAGAGGTGGTGGCGATGGACGGTGGAAAAATGGACCGGTCTGGTGACCTCCAGTCAGCTTAGGTGGTGGAGAAGGGAGCACCATGAAGCTGGGCAAGGTGCCAGCCCCACAACAAACTCCAGCGGGCTGGAGAACATGTGGAGGGGCAGGGGCCACCACCACACAGGACCAGGTCAACCAAGGCAAGGGCATCAGGAGATAGGGTAGACTTCACCTCCTGGATGAGATGGCAGGTTGCACATATCATGTGTAGACCCATGCATCAGGCCAGCACAGATGGGTCCACCCACCACCACCTATCATAGTCCAGGAGGTCTCCAATATGGGTGACACCAGCCAGGATCAGCCTCTGTCACAACTGAGGCACCTCTGTCGTCAGCATCTCCAGCTGGGGGCTCCAGAGGAGGGGCTCAATGAGCAGGTTGGTGCCCTGGGTGACTGTTGTGGCAAACCTGGAGGCAGAGACCAGCCTTGAGGCCCAGAGGAGGTCCTCATAGAAATCTGGCAGGCCGAGAAGCTGCCAGTCATATTGGAGCTCCCAGAAGTGGCAGAGGAAAGCGCAACTCAGGTGGCCACATATTGCATGGCTACTGACACCGTATAGCAGTCACTGCAGGGCCTGAAGGCAGAATCACAGGACCTGGATGCACAGGCAATGGGAGGCTCAGGACCTCTACAGTGACCCAGTGCTGACCTAGCCAGAAAAACTCCAGCGCCTGTCTCTGGAGCACTGCCAGGACCTCAGGGGACACAGGCAGGGTGTGTAAGCAGTGCCAGAGCATGGACAGGACCAGCTAGTTCAGCACTAGCACTCTTCCATGCAGAGAGAGACCTCAGGAGCCTTGCCCATGCCTGGAGCTGCTCCACCACCCTTGCCTCCAGCTGGTTCCAGTTCTCTGCTGGGTAGGGGTCTGTGGGGGACAGGTAGACCCCAAGTGGAGCAGCGAGCCCACACTCCAGCATATCCCATTGAATGCAGGTTGGAGTGAGCCCACCAGCAACCCGTCACCTACCGTCAGGCCAAAGCTCTTGACCAGGCTGACCCAAGCAGAGGAGGCTGCCCGGTACAATGCCTGGCAGGCCTCCACCTACACCAGGTTGTCTGAGTCCTGGACCATGAGGAGTACATCGTCAGCATATGCTGACAGGACCAGCCACACCATTGGCTCCCGGAGCATCAGCCCCACCACCTGCTTCCACAGGAGAATGAGGAAGGGCTCCAGGGCCCAGGCATACAGCTGGCCTGACAGTGGGAAGCCTTGATGCACCCCTTTCCTCTGTCAGGGTCCAGTTGAGCTTGACTAAACACTGAAGAAGTATACAGCACCTGGAAAGCCTGCACAAAGCTTGGCCCAAAGCCAAAGGCCAACAGAGTGTCTGTGATGTACCCGTGATCCATTCTGTCAAATGCCTTCTCCTGGTCCAGGGACAGGAAGGCAAAAGACAGGCCCTCCCAGCATGCTAGCTCCAGGAGGTCCTGAACCAAGTACAGGTTATTGAAGATGGAACATCCAGGTACCGTGTACATCTGGTCAGGATGGATCACGTCCATCAGCATGGACCACAGGCACAGTGAGATGACCTTTGCTGCCACCTTGTAGTCTGTGCAGAGGAGGGACATGGAATGCCAGTTCCTCAGGTCATGGGGAATCCCCCTTCTTTGGCAGGAGGGTCAGCACAGCCCTACAGCATGACATGGGAAGCTCCCCACTTCCCATGGATTCAGCCCAGACCACAGCAAAGTCCGGGCTGAGGACATCCCAGAAGGCCTGGTAAAACTCTGTGGTCAGCCCATTGATGCATGGTGCCTTGTTGCCAGGCATCAGGCAGAGAGCAGAAGAAAACTCAGAGTAAGAGGAGCCCTCATCTGGTCCTGGTTGCCCACACTGACCTGTGGGAGGGACTCCCACAGGGTCTGACAGGTTTCAGCATTGGCCAGATCCAGGGAGAAGAGCTCTTCATAGAAGGCCCATGAGTGCTGGTGCATGTTGCCTGGATCTGTGAGGGGGTGCCGTCACATGCCAGAAAGCAGTTGATGTACTTCTTGGTCCCCTTATTCTCACAACCATGGGGAATCTATTCTCACTGCTTGTG